AGCGTTTATGGATTGTATATGCATGGTGATTATAAAGGGGACACTGAAGCACTAAAAATATTTATTTTCTACCATTGTTGAAAGAGTCGAGAGATGCCCACTGGCTTTCATGTTTTGGCTTTGCAGTTTCCTAGAATTTTCCCGCTCTTTTGTTTCCATTCATGCATGAGCTTGTTTGAACCTTTTCACGTACTGTTTGTTTACCTGTTAGGATTAACAAGCTTTTATTTCTACCCATTTTCTTAGTACGAGTAAACTTAAAAATTAGGATAAATTACATCAAATATCATTTTATTTTAGGGTATGTTTAGTTAATGGGATGTAAGATTGCATTTGTAAATAATATTACTTAATACGATAATGTTGTATTACTTTGTTTGGTTTATTTAGCATGAATGTAAGATTACAGTATTTGATTGAAGAAATATAAGATTATTTGGATACATATCTTATCAAATTATACTTGTGATATATGTTTATTTTAACAAGTTAAACTTTAATATTAATTTATAAATATTTGAATAAAGAATTTATAAAAATATTTTAATTGTTACACTATCTAAATTTAAAGAAAAATATATTTAACATATAATTAATATATCAAACTTATAGTTTTTAAATAATTTTCATAAGTATCATATTTATTTATATAAAATATAATATAATATAAAATAATATTATGTTCAAGTACACAAATGTATTACTTTTCAATGTGTAAGATCTACTTTTTAATAACTCAAAATTAAATATTATTTTAAATAATTATATTTGTTTACTATAATAACATTTTCATCACATAAAATTATAAAATGATTAATATACAAATATTAACATATGAGATAATTTTAACTACTTAAATTTATTATTATTTTATTAAATTAAACTCTTTGTATATTATTATTACTATTAAGTTTATAATTTTGAGTAAAACATGAAGAATAAGAATCAAGAAGGATCCATATGAAAAAAATCATTATTTTAAAATATTTGTATATAAAGTGGTGGGAATTGTTCATTATCTAAGGAGGTAATAACATTCCCACCATTTTAACAAAAAAAAAATGTTATTATTGGTAATAAATTATTACTTGATAATTATTTTTTACGCGAACCAAAAGTGAAAATACAATTTTAGAAAATATTATGAGATTGTCTTCCTTCTCGTGAAGTCTAATTTGTGTATTAGTTTTATCATTAAACTTTAAAATATTATATTTTAGGCATTAAATTTTATTTTGTGTATTGTTTTGGTCTTTACAACTACTCTATTTGTTGTTGTCAATCGATTTCTGTCCATCAATAATGATCATTCGCAGTCAAAAAATTTATATTTTTCTCTCATCAGATTAGTTTTTAGTAAAATCCACTCCAAAATGATAAAAAATAATAATTTTTTTGGCTTCCATGTCAGTATCATATCAACATGAAACTATCGTGTCATCCTAATGCTAGCGATTTAATGATTCATTGCTAGAATTGAAGCTAAAACGAAGTTCAATGCTAAAATTGAAACTTTTTAAAATTCAATGATAAAATCGATGCAAATCTTAAAGTTGAGTGGCAGTTAGTGTAGTCTACCCGAAAAAGTAATAAATTTATAGGTCAAATTGCATACAAGGTCCTTGTGCTTTACATTTTTGGTGTACTTAATCTATCTACTATATATATATATATATATATATATATATATATATATATATATATATGATTTCGTATCTTCTACTTCTCATAAATGTGTATTTATGGGTCTTAATTCCGTCATTTGACATAATTTAGAGAGTAGCGTATGGGTACGTATATACTCAAAGGTTTGAGAAACTTCTTGCTATTTTCAGAGCTTGGATTTATACTCAAAGGGGAGAGAAGCTATAACTATTTGTTAAACAATTTTAAACATAAAAATATAATTATAAATTGAAATTTAATCCACCCCAAACTAACCCTAAAAGAAATATCTCTAACCCAAGCTTATAAAATAATTTGTGATTTATAGTCCTCCAAAACAATATCATTTTGAGCATTAATATGCTCAAAGGGAAGTTAACAAGTGCATTTGTCTGGGACCAACATGAAATTGAAGGAAATTTCCGTTTAGATTATATGGCAACGTGCTACATTCATGCTGTTATCATGGTTTAAGTTTGGGTCTTTTTTGCCTTGTGGTTTAGGGTTTGATATGGGAATTTCAACGAAAGCTAATTACTAAGATTTTTTATGCACACTGACATTGAGATGGAACATGTTATTTTTATGACCACGAAATAAAATCTGACAAACCCTGTTCATGGCATGACCCAACAATGCACAGCCTGGAATCTTTTGTAAAGCAATTCTCTACAAGCGTGAGCCTAATTGATTCCGAGACAGAACCATTCGGTGTAATCATATATAAAACAGGCCCTTGTTCTGTTTTCTAAACCTCCAATGTCTCTAAATGTGCTATCTTATGATTGGGATCGCGATATGAAACAACCAAGACAAGGTTACGTCGACCATTGATCTGCAAAAACACGTTCATTTACAGTCGAAGAATAACAAGAAGAAGAATCAAAATTCTGGGTTTCTACCGAAAGGAAGAATCAATCCGAAGGAAGGGACATTGTTGCAGAAGAGAGGCTAGCAGGGCTATTCTCACAGAGTGTTAGAGCTTTCTCCAAGTTGGCAACAATGTCTGTCATGTTAGGCCTCTCTTTTCCCTCCAAATTCACACAACTTATAGCTGTATGGGCCATGAGTTCCACAGCCTCAGCCTCGTGGACCTCCGGCACCCCGATCCTCCTATCGAGCACCATCCGGAGATCCATAGCTGATATCCTCGGGTGGCGTATTCGACTACCCCGATTGGCCCGGTGCCATCTTCCTCGTTTCTGAAAACAGCTCTTCTCCCTGTCAGAAGCTCTAACAATACCACACCAAAACCATAAATATCGCTTTTGGGTGTCAATACATTGAGTACGTAGTATTCAGGATCAATGTACCCAACTGTCCCAACTGCGCTGGTTGACATAAATTCTTGATCAGATTCAGGTCCCATTAGTGATAATCCGAAATCCGAAACTCTAGCTGTCCAATTCGCGTCTAATAGTATATTGGATGACTTAATGTCTCTGTGAATTATAGGTGGCATTGCATAGTTATGGAGGTAGTGAATCCCTCTTGCCGCATCTAATGCGATTTTGATCCTCATTCTCCAGGAATTCACTATGCTGCTCGACTTTGCGATGTTGTCCTTGTTATGCAGATGATCATAGACCGATCCATTGCTCATGTACTCGTAAACCAGAAGCCTCTCATCGTTTTCGTGGCAGAATCCGACTAATCCGACTAAATGTTTGTGGTGAAGCCTTGATAACAAAGCTAATTCGGACTCGAATGCGGTTTCTTTCTCTTGGAACTTCTTCACTTTGTGAGCAGATGTTTCACTTTCACCTCTTTTAATGGCGACCTCGCGACCATCATGAAGTTTGCCTTTGTAAACTACCCCAAAGCTGCCGGAACCGATCCGGTTTTCGATCGAGAAGTTGTTTGAAGCATTCGCGAGCTCCGAGAATGAGAAGTCTTGGGTTCTCTCTGCTTGTTTTGATGATGATGATCCACTTCTTTGCCGTCCTAGTCTCCTCGAACTATTGCGCCTGATGGAGAATGATCTCAAATGTGGGGCAATGGAGTCATTGTTGTCCGCAACAACATCGGTCACTATGTTCGCATCGGCAGCCGCCGGTTGCACGGGAGTATGAGTCCTGCAAAGCAAGAACCGATACAGTCCTTGGCGTGAACCGTAAATGATAGTGCAAATCCCTGCAAAAGCTCCGATTGATCCGACGACAAAAAATGCCAAGGAAAGCATGTTGATGCCTTTACTTGATTGAGAAAATCGTTGGGATCCTTGTGATGGACTAGGTGGTAGTATCGGTGTCAATGGCACCGGAATCGGAAGCTCGGTCCGACACGGTTTGCAAATGTTTCCCGAAGCATAACACAATGTCTCAGAATTCAGATACGTACCACAATTACATGAACTCTGAACACATGGACCTGGAATCACCATTCCTAAAGGAACAACACTTACTGAATTAAACCATCCATTGCCCCAACAAATCAGTGTCAAATTCCTTGTTGTCAAGCCGCAAATGAAATCCAAACCAGCAACAATTGACTCAAATGAAACCTCTGCCACTCTACTTGTATTACCTCCTCCCCAGCATACAACCAATCCGCTTCTTCTTCTGATACCGCAGCTAAAATTCCGTCCCAACGAAAGACCGGAAAACTCGAAAGCCTGACCGCCATTAACATCGAGTTGGCCGGTGTCGTTGTTCCCTTTGCAAACCAGGGACCCTCTCCTGGTCAATCCACAAGCATGTGAATCTCCAGCGACCAAACTCGATATTGACAAGTTACCAAATTGTCTTTGGATTTCAGCTCCAATCTTATTACCACCCCAACAGATAACTCTACTATCATTCCTCAAAATCCCACAACTAAAACCACTTCCTGAGGTAATTCCACGGAACTTTAAGCCGACACCGGGTGACGGAAATGCCGAACCGCCCTTTCCTCTCCAGCATCTAGCAATACCTGAACCGACTTCTCTAGCGCAAACATGATCATCACCCACGGCCAAGTCGGTCAACGGGACTCCGTAGTTGGAATATATACGTTTTGGCCTAAAACTTGAAAAATTCACCAGAGTCTGAGTCTCCCAACAGTGGATGCTGAAACCACCTGATCTAAGGCCACAAAAGAAGGTTCTGCCGCCGGAGGTCGCTTCGAACGACACGTTCGGCAATACCGAAACATTGAGTCCATTTTGGTAGCACTGGATTCTCTGTGTTGGATCACCAGCTATAATCCCACAAACGGTGCCCGTGCCGAATGTGACAGCAACCGTGGAGGCCGATCCCAGAGCGGTAACAACATCGGATTCCGTCGTTAACGAGACGATGATGGTGACCAGAAGGGAAACGGTGAAGGAGAAGGGCGTGGGGTTCATTTCAGATATGACAATTTCTCGATATTCCTCATGGAAGAAGAGTGAAAAAGCAAGAACACAGGAGCTGGGGAGAGAGAACGATGGCAATGATAAAAAAGGGAGAAGAGTGAGTAATAAAAGAATACAAAAGAAAGACGTGTACGAAGCATGTGGTCCCATTAAAACAATGTCTTGGATCAAGGCAAAGCAATACCCTTTTTTCACAGACCTAAAGTGTTCATCTTTCTGTCTGTCTTGCTCAAGTTCCTACTACCAAATTTTCACTTTCGGACAACTTTTAAATGTACTTTAATCATACTGACACGTATAGTTATGATGTCAAAATAAATAGTCTTAGTCTCAATAAAATAAAATGAATAAGAATAAGTAGAATTATGAGAATAAAAAGACTAGGAATTTGACGATTTCATCGCTTTTGATATGGCTTTAGATGTGATTTGTAAAAGAAAATAAGAGGGGATTTGAGAGTTGGAATAAAAGGTAAATTGTGAAAGAAAAATAAATAAAGTAGACCAAGTAAATTTTTAAGTGAAGATTCAATTGTTAAAAATCACCCTTAGACTAAAATTTTTGCCTCGATTTAAATCAATCATCGAATAAAATTTTACCTTCGGGCTCACGCCGATTACAGTTTATAGGGTCCAACCCCTATAATTTGTTTATCTCTCAAATGAATTGATAATCTAAAATCAATTTTCAGATCTCAACTCTTTGTGAGTTAATAGCAGCAATCGTTATTAATTCAGTGCTTTTGAATTCCGGAAAAACTTGACTCGAATTCTATCGTCTAAATTGAGAATCTAACCCAATTCCAGTTTTCCTTAAAGGACCGCCTCTAAGTGTGTTCACAGGAAGTCGAATGTGCTACATGTCGATCATTCCTTCCAATTATTAATTGAAACCGAAATTCAATTTCAAATTGAACTTTTTGAAATGAAATCGTCTTGATTATAAAAGGATAATAGATTACCAATCCTTAATTTTTGAAAACTGAAAATGTAACCATTGAGGGTATGAAGCGCTTTTCGATTCTCACGACTTAGAATCGAGTAATTACTTTGGTCATTGGCTATAGAAAACTTAGCTAAGCATGGTAGAAAGAAAAACTTGAAAAATAAAGTAACTTGAAAAACAAAAAGAAAGAAAAACTTTTATAAATCTAAAGAAAGAAAAAAAATAAGAGAGTTTGAAAATGATTGAATGCTCAAGTGATGAATTGAATATGCTTTGAGGCTTACCCAATGGATATTTATAGTCCTAAAAAATCCTAGAAAATAATATTCAAAACAAAATATAATTCCTAAAGATAATTTCTAAAAATAAAAATAAGATAAATCCTAATTTAAAATAAAAAAAATTCAGCTAAGTCTCATTCTCTACGCCACTACTGATTGGGTCTTCTAGAAACTGTTGACTGGACACCATGTCACCTACCACGTCATCGCCATATAATCACCACGTCAGCCGCTGACTAGATGCCATGTTGGGTGTAGAATATCCCAAGTCGTGCCCATTAATCCGACTATGAATCCAGAAAAATATTAAATTGTACGATTTCGTTGTTCTTAGTATAATTTATGGAGTTCAATATGTTGTATCGAAAATGAATTAACAGCTAAAATTATCTAATCAAGAAGTAATTAATCATAAATAATGTATAATTTAAACACTAATCAAATTCACTCACACTTACCAAAATGTTTCTTGTTTCTTTCTCTAGTATTGTTGAGGCACACTAACAGAAGAGAATTTGAAGATCATGTATCGATAATAAGAGTTCACAGAAATTAATGAGAAAAAAAAAGAATTTTACTAATAAAATAGGAAGCACGTTCAGTTTGTGCTCTGTTTTAGTTGTTGTTTGATCTGTCAGGTCACTGGGCTGAGGTAGACAGCTATACTCCTCAGCTGGTTTTTAATATATAATATATGTTTGGATTAGAATAACACTGGTTCAACAAAGAAACTGTTTTAAACGCATAAAATAATATTATTTGATGAATAAAAATTAATTTTAAATACGAAAATAATCAAATGAATGCAATCATGAGGCAGAGTAATAAGGGCTGTACCATTTAGTCCACCCACCCAAGTTAAAGATTTTGATCAAGACAAGTAGGGTTTTAAAATGACGGCAACTCAGAGCTTTGTGTTGCTGTCCAGCCTGAGATGAATGCTCAAATTTAAAATAAACTCTAAATAATTTTAGAAGAAAAAAGTTAGAATAGATAAATGTATTCAAGTTGTGATTACAAAACTTGATATGAATTCGAAGGTTTCATCTCACCATCGACAACTATTTATTGATTGTTTGATGAAAAATAAATTTAATATTAAAAAGAATTTTTTTATGTGAATATTTATTTTTAGTTAAAAATTAATAGAGAAAGTATAATGTTATACGCCTCAGATGTGCAATAAAATTTATATCGTGGGAACTGATAGTTTAAATACTAAAAGCATTAAGTTTTTAACGGGATACTAAAATGAAATATTAGAAATGATTTTGGAAAAAAAATAAAAGTTTAGGTATTAAATGCATAGTTTACCCTTGTTATTATTGTTAGGCCCGCCAGTCACGAGCCCGACGGAGGGCACACGTAGGTGTCTTTCAAAGGTCATGTCATATGGAATCACATGGGACATTGCTTGTTCTGATGAAATCACTCGAGCTGTTGCACCACCAAATCCCCTACCAATACATCACACATTATTCCTTTGAATAAGAGTGTCAAATATTTTACATCACACGTTATTCCTTTGACCAACTGACAAATGCTTGCAGATTCAATAACATATCTCAATTTTCACCTAAAACAATTTTACCGTTGAGGAAGAGGATCAGGACATTGATGAGCCAAGCTTGTGGTATGGAAGGAGAATAGGTTCAAAGAAGAAGGCATTTGAAGAAAGAACTCCCCTTTTCATAGCTTCAATTTTTGGGTGCAAGGATGTGGTGAATTATATCGTCAAAAGTGGTCGTGTCGATGTTAACAGGGCTTGTGATTCCGACTACATTGTGCTGTTGCTGGCAGGTTCCTCTCTTTCACCTGAGGTTGTTAGAATCTTGCTCGATGCTTCCGCAGATATAAATTCTGTTGATGCTAATGGAAACCGAACCGCTCAAGCTTGTTGCGATTCATACTTCAACTCAAGGAAGAAGATATTGGATGCTTTGTTGAAAGGAAATTGTCGTATTGACGAAAGAGAGGGTTTTCCAACTCGACTAACGACTGAGATGGAAGGCCGAACTCGAAAAGATGGAAATGAGAAGAAAGATTATCCCTACGAGCTTGCTCTTCCTGACATCAAGAACGAGATATACGGGACAGATGAGTTTAGGATGTACACCTTCAAGATCCAACCTTGCTCGAGGGAATACTCTCATGACTGGACTGAATGCCCATTTGTTCACCCGGGGGAGAATGCTAGAAGCGTGATCCTAGAAAATATTTCTATGGTTGCGTCCACTATCTCGAATTTCGTAAGGGGTCGTGCAAGCAAGGTGATAACTGTGAGTATGCACATGGTATTTTCGAATCTTGGCTTCATCCAGCGCAATATCGAACTCGTCTATGCAAGGATGAGACTAATTGCACTAGGAATGTCTGCTTCTTTGCTCACAAGCCAGAGAAGCTCCGTCCCTTGTATGCTTCGACAGGTTCAGCCCTGCCTTCACCAACATCATATGCAGCTAGTCTTGATCATGGTTCGATGAGCCCACTTGCACTTGCCTCTTTATTTGTTATGAAACCTTCAACATTAACACCACCTTTAACTCCTACCGGAACCTCCTTTACTAGTGCAGGGATGTGGCCGAACCAGTCTAACATCATACCTCCTACCTTGCGACTTCCTAGCAGTAGTAGATTGAAAGCGGCACGAAGCGCTCGGTATAAGGATTTAAACGTGGAAATGCTCAATTCAGAAAGTCATCGATGCCTCCAACAGCACCAACAACTAAATGATGAGATAATTGATCTTTCCTCTCAGACAAGTTTGACCAATCCCTTGTGTGGGGAATTAAATAGGTATGAAAGGGTAAAGCCAACTAACCTCGAAGATATTTTTGGATCTCTCGATACTACTACAAAGTCCTCGTTACAAGGAATTTCATTCGGGGCTACTTCTCCTCAACTGCAATCACCAACTACAGTTCAAATGCGCCCAAATATCAATCACCAGATTCACTATAGCTACCCAACGAACCTAACATCATCTCTTGTAATGACATCTCCAACCTTTGGGTTAAACCATCCGGAACAATTGCAACATCGGTTTCAAGTTCAAAGCGGACCCCGAGCGTTATTGAGAGCAAACCGTATACGAGTCTATGGAATGAAATGGAATGGGAGAGTTCATTGCAACACCAAAGAACAAAGAATCACATAAACAAGGGATCTTACAAGTAAAGATATAATGATATGTGCACGACAAAAGGTGAGACTCGACCGAATAAAAGAGAATTACTTTACTTCACACTATAAATCAAGATCCAATAGGACTACACATGAGCAAAAACAAAGGCATACAAACATCTAGAATCAAATCATTCGTATTAACCTATAGATGCAAGATACAAATCACACAAGAGTGCAAATCAGTAAATAGATCACCATAAGCAATGTGACTAGCTATTTCAGCGATAGATATCGTTATTGAAGGAAACATATCTAACAGACAAATCAAAAGGCCTGAAGCTTCATTATAATTCCAACATTACAAAAAATCCTGTCATTTTGGTCATTCCTGGCTACATAATCAATCAAATTTCGTCAACGTTTCTTAAAACCGTATTTCTTACGTTCGTAGAACAAGTCGGTTTTTGCGCTTCCAAGATTAACAATTTTGGGACAACCATCTCTATCCTTCTCTTGCTGTGTACACTCCTTACAATAGTAAGCATCGGATATTCCCACTCCTCCACAGATAACAAACCTACCTTGAAATGAACCGTAGTTGCATTCGTCGCAAACCCGAACCAGAGTACAAGGACGAACATAGGAATCACAGATTACACACTTGCCATCGCATTTCTCACATAATCGTCCGATTGCAATACCAGGCTGCTTCCGGCACATGATCAAATCAGGGTGGTGCTTCGCCATCGATGCAGCAGGTCGTCCTTACTCGTCACTGTAATTGAAACAAAGAAAAAAAAAGCATACAAAAAAAAGTTGAAACTCGAAATTTCCCTCATAAAAATCAGCATAGCTGTTGGCAATTAACCCAAATACAACTAACTCTAACATAACCAAATCATATAAAAGAAAGATCAATCTTTTTCTTCTCCATAAGAAACCCATTATCTCAAATTCTTTATTATGAAACAAACATTAGGAAATGAGGGTGGAAAAATCCTTTTATGAAAGAAAAAAAAACGCAAGTGAACTACAAGCTTTGGACCAACCCAGGAGAACAAATTAAGAAAGAAAAGCAGGGAGAGATGCAATGCTGACCTAAGAGGGGTATCGAGCTTTGCCGGAGAGACTGAAAGCGGAGAAGAAGTCGAAATCCGAGAAGGAGAAAGCGCTGGATATGAAATGAAAAAGAACAAAAGGGCAAATATTTTACATTAGGGCAGTGGTAAAATCAGATTGTGTTGAACACGGGATAAAATATTGGGTAAACTACACTCAATGCGGCTTTTGTTTTTATTTTTGTCTTATTTTATCCACATGACTTTTGAGTATTATGTTTCAATCACTTATATTATCAAATTGTTTCTATTTGATCATTAACGTTACTCTATGATATTTTAATGATGCGGTATATTAATAAAATTAGATAATTTTTATTCGACTCTTATATTTAGATAAAATATTAATTTAATATTTTATAATATTTTAATCATAATTATATATAAACCGAAGCCGTGATAAAACACTATTCTCCAATTTTACAACTATATATATGTAACTAATATTATAAGTAATTTTAACAATGGTGGATTTGATCATCTAATCTAAAAAGTATTAATGTATTTTTATGGATAGATCGAGAGGTGCTCGTGACGATCGTATCTTTTAAAAATATTAAATTTTACATATAACACAAAATTTTACGTGAATTTATGTCAATATTTATATTAAATAACCACTATATACAACGTGATATTATTTTAAATTTAGTTATTATGTACACAAATGATTTGATAACGTGATGGCACCAAAATAAACCACAACCAGAGGCTTTATTATAGTGTAATTGAACATGTGCCGGTAAATGATTAGTAATCGTTAACATTAGCAACAAGAGAGAGAGAAAATCGTATGAAAACCATTAAACCTTTCTCTGCTCTTCCCCTTTCATCCAATTCCTAAAAGGTTTCCTTCACCGGTGAGGCCGTAATCTTAGCGGCAGCCATGCCTGAAGCCTCGCCACCACCTTATCTTTCGTATCGGAACGGAACAATTGCAGTCTGCATCTACCTTCCGCCCAAGGTCAATTCACCCGGTATCTGGTCAAACGCCACCTCTCCATCAGAGATTCTCTCATTTTCGTTGCCGCTTTTGGAGATGCAGCTGCTGTTGATGTTCTTGATCACTCATTTCGTCTATGCCATCTTCAAACCTCTTGGAGTCACCTTCTTCGCCTCACAAATGTTTGTACGTTAATCGATTTACCTGTTTATGTTTATTGGGGTTTCTTGCATGGCAAGTAAATGAAACCCTCACTTGATTTATAATTAAGATTTTTTTTGGTTTAATTTTTCGGCTAGGCCGGCGTGATCCTGGGGCCTGCAATGTTGGGGAAAATAGAAACATTCAAAAACGTATTGTTTACACCGGGATTGAGTTTGGATATCGTTCAAACCATAGCAGGGTTTGGTTTCTCGATATTTTTGTTTCTGATGGCAGTGAAAATGGACGCGAGGGAGGTGCTTAGGTCCACAAGGAGAGCCAAAGTGATAGGCATTGTATCCCTTTTGTCTCCTATGGTGATTGGTTTAATTGTTTACCAGAGCCAAAGTGATAAGCTTTGTATCATGGAACGCATGATAGGAACAATCATTGAATCCATGACTTCATTTTCAGTCGTCGCATGGCTACTCGATGACCTCAAGATCGGAAATACCGAACTGGGACGACTGGCTCTATCATCGTCGACCGTATGCAACATGTGCTCCATATGTCTGATTACCTTTGTTTCTTTGACCAAACATTTGCACGAATCGACATCAAATTTCGTGAAGTATTTAGGAATCACAATTCTTTTCATAATTTTTCTTTTTGTTATGGTTCGTCCATTGATGTTTTGGATAATTAAAGAAACACCCGAAGGGAGGCCGGTCAGGGAAACGCACATTGTGATCGTCATCATGGTAGCTATAGGGTGCTCTACATTTACCAATTGGTTCAATCAATCTCCTCTGCTCGGGGCTTTTCTTGTCGGCTTAGCTATCCCCGACGGACCACCACTAGGATCTGCCTTGGTAGACAAGTTTGATTGCTTTGCCAGAGGTGTCTTTCTGGTAGCCTTTGTAACCACAACTACAATGAAAGTTAATCCGAACAAAGTGTTGTCTGATCCCGAAAAGTTTAACTTCTCTATTGTTTTCGTTGTTTCGACATTTATTGCGAAATTTTTATCTTGTTTCATAGCTTCATTTTGGGACATGATGCCCCTCAGGGACGCCTCAGCCTTTTCTCTTATTATGAGCAGCAAAGGCGTCGTAGAGTTGCAATATTTCGCCAGTTACAGAGGCATCCAGGTAATCTAAATGGAAAATTCATCTCCATCGTTTCTAATCGACCACTAATTCCGTGTCCATTCCTTTACCAGATTTTGTCGGAATCGACGTTTACGGTGTTGGCCCTTAGCATTCTAGTGAATGCAACTTTAATCCCAATCATTGTCAAGATCCTTTACGATCCTGTTTCTAAAAAGTATGCAGGCTATCAGAAAAGGAACTTGATTCACTTAAAACCCGATGCCGAGCTGCGAGTTCTTGCCTGCATTCATGGAAGTGAAAGTGCTCGGGCCATGATAGATATTCTTGATCTCACATGCCCTACAAAAGAGAGTCCAAATGTTGTATATGTCCTTCACCTGATTGAACTAATAGGTCGTGATTCTCCAATCTTTATAGCTCACCAAAAGCTCGACAACAAAGTCGTGACTTGCCACGAAAACATTCTTGCTTTCAATCACTACTCGGAAAAGAACGGAGGATTGGTCACGGTGAACGCATTCACTGCAATCTCTCCGCCTAAACTGATGCATGAGGATATCTGCACTATGGCCCTCGACAAGCAAACATCCCTCCTACTTCTTCCATTCCATAAAAAATGGACTATGGACGGAACTGTCGTCGAAAACGAAAACACTATGATAAGGAACTTGAATTTCAGTGTCCTGCACCAGGCCCCATGCTCGATAGGGATCCTCGTGGGCTGCGGCTTACACAATTGGAGGCGAAAATTGATGAAGTCGTCCAAGTTCTGCTCCATTGGCATGATCTTCTTAGGTGGCACAGACGACCGGGAGGCTTTAGTATTAGCCAAAAGAATGGCCCGTGACCCTAAAGTGAAGCTGACCTTGATCCATCTCATTCCCGATCAAGAGCCCGTGAAGACCGTGGACTGGGACATGATGCTGGATGTTGAGATGTTGAAAGATTTCAAGGAGAATGAAGTTGGTGACGGTTGCAACATAACGTTTACACAACAAGTTTCAAACGACGGAAAACAAACTGCGAAGTTCGTTAGATCGCTTACGGCTGATTATGACTTGATCATCATCGGCAGACGCTGTGGGCTGGAGTCGGTCCAAACAACAGGCTTATCGGAATGGTGTGAATATCCTGAGCTCGGGGTCATTGGTGACCTCCTTGCATCCATGGTTTTAGATAGCAGGGTATTTGTATTAGTTGTGCAACAACAACTTTATATTTATTAAACGTTATAAAAACCCACATCACAACCTCATGTATTTCATTTTGGATACATGAAAACATGATGATTTATTTAAATTTATATAATTATTGATATTCGATTTGTTGATCTTCGATTAGTCCGTTTTAATAAATGTGACCACCACTACACCAGGAAAGAAAATGAAGCATAAGCAAAAGATCGAACAGACAAGACAACAAATATATGCTTGTAGATTCTATAACAACATGTCACAATTCTTACCTAAAATATTATCTGTTTTTTTCTTCGAAATTTTGTTATTATAATTTTCAGTTATTTAACTAGAAAAATCATTTATTAACCTGAAAATAATATCACAGATGATACAACTGGATGACTTAAGAAATACTAATTCAGTTTATGTTATAAAAACCGTCTTCTTCGAAACAGAAATTTTCATGTGCAATATTTCAACGAGGAAACCAACTCAAATCATGGAGGACGAGTCTCACAAACAAAATGAGATTCCTCGAAAGTTCTCAAATTTACTCGAGTTGTCGGCTTCGGACTATCTGATTGGCTTCAAATCTGCTGCTGAAGAAGGGGGTTATGATATTGATGAGTCAAATTTATGGTATGGAAGGAGAATAGGTTCAAAGAAGATGGGTTTTGAAGAAAGAACACCCCTTTTGATAGCTTCAATCTTCGGGTGCAAGGATGTGGTAAACTATATTGTCAAAAGTGGTCGTGTTGATGTTAACAGGGCTTATGGTTCCGATGGGGCCAGGGCTCTACATTGTGCTGCTGCTGGCGGTTCCTCTCATTCACCCGAGGTTGTTAAAATCTTGCTTGATGCTTTCGCAGATATTAACGCCGTTGATGCTAATGGAAACCGACCAAGTGACTTGATTGCTCCAGCTTGTTGCAAGTCGGATTTCAACTCCAGGAAGAAGATATTGGAGGCTTTGTTGAAAGGAAGCGATAATATTGGTGAAAAGGAGGGTTTTCCGGCTCGAGTAGTATCTGAGATAGAAGGGTTCGAGCAGCGAGCGGATTCGACTCCACGAGTTTGGAAAGATGAAAATGAAAAGAAAGATTATCCCTACGATCTCGTTCTTCCTGACATCAAGAACGGGATATACGGGACAGATGAGTTTAGGATGTACACCTTCAAGGTCCAGCCTTGCTTGAGGGCCTACTCTCATGACTGGACCGAGTGTCCATTTGTTCACCCGGGAGAGAATGCAAGGAGACGTGATCCTAGAAAATATCTTTATATTTGCGTCCCTTGTCTCTAATTTCGTAAGGGGTCCTGCAACAAAGACGATAACTGTGAGTGCGCACATGGTATTTTTGAATCTTGGCTTCATCCAACGCAATACCGAAGTCTATGCAAGGATGAAACTAATTGCACCAGGAGGGTCTGTTTCTTTGCTCACAAGCCAGAGGAGCTCCGTCCCTTATATGCTTCCACAGGTTCAGCCCTGCCTTCACCTACATCATATGCGGTTAATCTTGATCATGGATCGATGAGCCCACTTTCTCCCCACCTCTCCATCTATTATAAAACCTTCAACATCGACACCACCATTGACTCCTACTGAAACCTCTTCTATCGGTGGAGGGTTGTGGCCATTTGACAACTGTCGTTTTATATGTCAAAATAATTCATTTTTCTCAATTAATAAGGAAATGCGTAGTATAGAGAAATAAGGGTCGAATTCTCAGGGACTTAGAAAATCACAATTTTATGTTTGAATAGTTCTAACCAGGCTTGAATAGTAAAAGGGGTTTGTAATATGAGATTTAAATAGTAAAAAAATAATTAAATAAATAAAAGCGATTAAAGTAAAAATAAGAGGATAATGATTGAGAATAAATACGGTAAAACTAGCCTCAAGCCTTGCTTTGACTCAATTTCCTTCTGATCATCGAATAAGATTTTTTCTTCGGGATTCACGTCGGTTACTTTGTCTACGAGGGCAATCCCCGTGACTCTATCTTGTATACCGAATACCCAAGACAATATTTGATTCCGGCTTCAGTAATTGATTCTAACAACATCAATTGTTGTAGATCAATTTCCGTTTAAGTTCATGGCGACCGACTCGGATTGAATGCTTCAATAACCGTCAATTCTGATCTCAAATCCCTCTTGGCGAAACTATATCGCCAAGTGTGTTCCCAGGAAGTCGAATTGATTTCTATAAGCCGAATTTTCCTCACACACGTTTAATCGCAACAACTTCTTGACCAAAGTCAATATTTGATTTTGAAAACTGTTTTGATTTTTAAAAATAAGCACATTGAGAGAGATATTCCGAAGATATTAAGGGTTTGTTTCAATTCTCCTGATGGAATTGAGTCATCGCGACAGCTCTCGGATTATGAAAAGTTTAGCTAAGCATGACAAAAGTCATACTTAGCATTTGAAAACAAAACTTGGAAAATAAAAGAAAAATGGAAAGAACTTGAAAAGTAAAAAGAGAAAGCTTTTATAAAAACTAGAGAGAAAAGAAGATTGTAATCCGAATGATGAGTTTAGGCTTACCCCAAGTGGGTATTTATAGCCTCTCAAAGCCTAAGGATAAACAAGAAAATAAAATAAAATAATCCTAAGATAATTATTTTTCAAATTTAAATTCAAACTTAAACTAGTCTCCTAATGAAACTCAGCTCGTCCATCTTCCAGAAGGCGTGCGGAGAAAGTTTTCTAGAAACTGCCACGTAACACCACGTCATGCTCATGTCTCCAGCCGTGACCAAATAAGAAAAAAAATGTAGAATTCACCCGTTTTGTCACAAATTCTGAAAAGCAAGGACATGTACAGAAACAAGTATAAAACGACCAATTCAACAACAATGATTCCACAAAATCGAAGAAATAACGAGCAAAGATTAATTATTTAAAACACTCATCACCAAACTAGTCTAGCATCAATCCTCCTACCTTGCAACTTCCTAATAATATTGAAAGCTGCACGAAGTGCTCGGAGTATGATTTTAAACACCGAAACGCTCAGTTTGGAAAGTCATTAGCGTCTCCAGCAACAACAACTGATTGATGAGATAACTGGTCTTTCCTCCCCAACCAGTTGGACTAATCCGTCATCCGGGGGATTAAACAAGTATGAAGGGGCAAAGCCGACTAACCTTGAAGATATTTTCGGATCTCTTGATACTACTACTAAATCCTCGTTGCAAAGAATTTCACTCGAGGCTACTTCTCAACTGCAATCACCGACTGGAGCTCAAATGCGTCCAAATATTAATCACCAGCTCCGCTCTAGCTTCCCAAAGAACCTAACATCCTCTCCTGTAATGACATCCCCGGACCCCAACATTTGGGGTTGAACCATCGGGAACAACTACAACACCAATTTCAAGTTCAAAAAGGACCACAAGCGTTATTGAGCACCCTACTATCAATCGTCATTCATGGTATTCTACACCAGCATCCCCAGTGGGCGCAATGCCTCCCAGCCTTTCGGATTGGAGTTCCCCTGATGGCAAACTAGACTGGAGTATACAAGGAGAAGAGCTAAAAAAACCAAGAAAATCTAGTTATCTCGTGTTCCTAAACAATGGCAATAGTTTAGCAAATGTGAAGCTCTCAACGCCATCAACCAGTAAATATCAAATAAAATATTCCTATCTCACAAAATAAATGAGAAGTAAAGTAGTGTAACCTTATAGACCCCGGGAGTTATGACCTAATCTAGATGGTCACATGTCATATTCAAAAGTTCTTTTAATATTTAAACTGCATTCCAATACTATTTCAATAAATAAAATTCATGTAACGGTAAAATACTGAAATAACCAACAGAAAGTCCATGCAGTAAATATATAGAGATATCAACATCAGAAAATAAAATATCAGTAATACAGATGCGTGAAGACAATAGTAAAAACACGTGTCACCAAAATATAACAAAAGCGCACAAGAAATATGCAGTTATACAAAAGTGAGAAGAGATCAGTCCTTCTGATGCCAAGTTCGCTAGCCTACTGTATCATGAACTTTCTAAAATAATCAATTAAGGCAATCTACCACAACATCATCCCTCGAGTACTGTCACAACAATATCGTGAATTGTCTCATTGTAAATACATGTAATGATTTTTTTAGTAATTATAGTTTAATTTAATTATTGAACAACTATTTGTTTATTTCTATTTTAAAAAAATTAAACACCAAATATATTTTTATTGTTTTATTTTTGGATTCAAGTTTTCATTTATATTAACCAAACATGTTTTCTAATTTTCAAAAAATTGAAAATGAAAATTGAAGACACTAGTTTTTTTCATTTTCATTTTTTATTTTTTTTATTTTATTATTATTATTATTATTATTATTATTATTATTATTATTATTATTATTAAATAAATATTACAGGCCCAAATACATTACAAGCCTAACCCGGTTACATCAGGCCCAACAGCGACCCAAACATGGTGGCCCAGATCCAGAAGTCTAAAGGAAACCCTAAACCAGATTAGGTTTATGCCTCATTCCAGCAGCCGCCGTTTCTATCAACCGTTGGATCTAATTAGATCCAACGGTCCCCAGATGCACCAGATGAAACCCTAGGTCCACGTCACTGCCTCCAAGCTTCCAGCCGCTACGTCTCTGCCAGGTGGTCCAACGCCTACTGCCGACACTCCAATGCCACGACACCTCTTGGAAGTCTCCAGAAGCTCTGTTGCCACGATGACAGCCGCACACGTCGCCTCTACGGTGAGTCACTAGCATAGCTTTGTGTTGAGTTAATCGATTGACGAATATGGCCAAGAGGGGGGTGAATTGGCAATTAAAATTTTGGTGGAAGCTTTTGCAGAAAATTGAAAGAAATTTGCACAGCGATTTAGAGTGGTTCGACTTTCTCAACCAAAGTCTACGTCCACTACCTTAGCTATCCACACTAAGGATTTTCCAACAAATTCACTAATTTGTTCTTTCTTTTGAGGACAAAGAGTAACCTTACAACTCCCTCAAGAATTATACCCCAAATTCTTGAGCACACTCTTTTTCAAAGA